GGGTCAGCCCTGCCTGTCGAACCATCTCACCCAAGTAGTTGTCTAAGCTGTTCTTAACACACACGGACAGGAATTCCACAGCCTCTCTGGGCAGCCTATTCCGGTGTTTAATCCCCAGGAAGCCTGGTTTTCCCTGATAAAAAAATCACAGATTCTCTGATAAAACCCCCCAAATCCACAATTAAAATGAAATGTCACTATATATGTATAGGTATCAAGTGAACACAATGTTTTATTGATCTATTTACAATTTTAAAACAATTTGGAAGCCTACCAGTGCCTCAATCAATATAATAAAATCAATTCTAAATGCCTATACATTTTGGTGCTTGATTTGGGGTTTTTTATCATGGAAAATCAGAGCTCCCCCTACCCCCTTAGCTCACCAAGACACAGGTTCAGGCCCCTCACTCCCAAGCCACAGCCCCCAGCCCTGCTGGTGCCCTTCACTCCCCACCCAGAGCCCCCTTCGCCCTACTGGTGCCTCTTGCCCCCCATCCACAGACCCCTGCCCCCTCAGGGGGGGCCCCCAGCTGCCAGGGCTATGGGGCCAGGGACCTAGGTCCACAGCCTCCTGCCCCCTGCAGTAGCACCCGAGCCCCAGCTGCCACCCATGGGAGGCGGCAGCTGCTGCACCCTGAGCAGGAAGCCCAGCTCCCCCTCCCTCATGGGCAGCACGGCCAGAGCAGAGCCCGTGGGGAGGCGGGTGTGTGCTGCCCACTGTACACAGTCCTAGGGCAGCAGGTGGAGAGCCTGAGCTTGCAGCATGCAGCCCACCCCTGCACCCACCCCTGTCCTGCACACAGATCTGGGGGACACATGTCCCCCTCTGCTCCCACAGTAGTGTGTGCAGCAGTGAGGAGTTGGCCCCTCTCCCCCACCCCCCAGACGACTGCCCACAGCCCCATCCTGCTCCCTGTTGGCTCATAACCCCCAGGTCCTTTTCTGCAGTACTTCCACCTTGTTAAGCACCCCCCATAGGTTTGTTCTGTCCTTTGAGACTGCGGGACCTGAACCTATTCAGCCTCCACAAGAGAAGGCTAAGGGGGGACCTGGTGACTGTCTATAGACTCACTAGGGGGGACCAGAGGGGTTTGGGGGAGACGCTGTTTCCCCTAGCGCCCGCTGGCATAACAAGGAGAAATGGGCACAAGCTGTTGGAGAGGAGGTATAGATTGAACATCCGCAAAAACTACTTCACCGTTAGGGCGGCTAGGAGCTGGAACCAACTTCCAAGGGAAGTGGTGCTGGCCCCTACCCTGGGGGTCTTTAAGAAGAGGCTGGATGCCCACCTAGCTGGACTCGTTTGAGTCCCATTTCTCTTTTTGGGGTTTTTGTTGTTCTCCCGCCCTGGCGGGGGGTCGGGCTAGAAGATCTACTAGGTCCCTTCCGACCCTTAATCTATGAATCTATGAATAAGTGTGGGACCTTGCATATGTCCTTACTGAATTTTATTCCATTCATTTTGGACTACAGTATTCCTCCAGGTTCTCTAGGTCATTGTGGATCCTAGCCCTGGTCTCCAGAGTGGCTATAGCTCCACCCAACTTGGTGTCAGCTGCACATTTGCTAAGTGTGTACTTGATCCCATCCACAACCCATTAATAAAGATATTCAACAGTATCAGACTGGTTTGATGGTCTATAGCAGGCCCTCCCACTGTAACATCTCCCTTGCTGTTTTCCCTTCTTACTTTGACCCAAAGGTTTTCAACAGGCCTACCTCCTGCTTAGTACCACATCTCAGAATGTGTGCACGTCTCTTCTAGATAGGGTTGCCAACCCTCCCGGATTGGCCAGGAGTCTACCGAAATTGGCATCGATCTCCCAGTGACTATTGAAAGCAATCCAGGAAATTGCTTTCATAATATGTAATGTACAGTACATTTAATGACATTACATCATGTTGGGGGGAAAAAATCTCCCACAATAGCTTCAGTCAGAGTTGGCAACCTTACTTCTATATAAAGAATGCAAACTGATTTTCCCCCTGACAGTCCTTTCTGAATAAGTTACACCCATCCGTGACGGTAGTCCAGTCATGCAGACTGTCCCACCAAGTCTCGGTTACCTCATTTCTATCATACTTCTGTGGCTACTAGGACTTCCAATTTGTCCTGCTTATTCCCCACATCTCCTTGCATTAGTGCATGAACATCTTAGATGACTAGCCAATTGTCTTAATTTTTCTCTGAGAATATTGTTCAAGCTCTCCAGGTTGTCTCCTCTTTCTTGGTTTTTATCTGTGTTACCTGGATTTTTAGTTACCTCTTGGCTTTTGTCTCCATCATTGAACCTAGTTAAATCTTCTTCGGTAGGCTTGTGAGACTGCATATGAGTACCCTCTTCTTCGTCTTTTGCCAGGTGGACCCCATCTCTTCTCCACAGTCCTACTTGCAAGCACCATCCCATGGCCACACCAGCAGGGCTTTGGCTTCTTTGACATCATGTCTGCAGCCATGCATTGATCTCCAGGATGCTCTTGCCTGGACATTTACTTTACACTGTAATGAACCAATCCAAATGATGAAGATATATTCTCTTGAGTGTTTTAGCTAAACTGAACAAATTAAGGCAAAAGCACTCTTATACTAAAGAACTGAATGTACTGATTTCTGGAAATCTGTAAAGCATTCGCTCCATTATGAAGACTGAAAATAATAGATACACAATGCAGTACATGACATTGAAACTTACTTAAAAAGCTTGAGTTGACCTCAAGAAAGCTTCACTGTGCACTTTAATTCATTAAAATTTGCCGTTTCATATAGGATACTTTTATTTGATTTTTATTTTTATTTGATGCAGTTAGAGGATTTTAAGAAGGAATATTAAGCTTTAGGTGTTACTCCAGGCTACTGTAACTTCCAGCTTATTTTAAATAAAACAGGTTTAAAAAAATGTATTGAATTTAAATATAATCCTTTCCTTTACTTCTGTGAGATGTAATTGATTTTTGTCCAGCTTGAGTTGTTGTTCTTCTTTCCCATTAGTAATTGGCCATATCTGTTAAACAATTAAAATACTACATTTCTTCGAAGGAGGACATATTTGTTTCTGCCCAAATTAGCATGAGAATTCTCTTTACCTGGCCAAATACTAATAATAACCCACTGAGAAACCAATTACTAAGAGAATGATTGGGCTTATGGCCAATATTCTGGCAAAGTTGAACTGCAGAGGTGAATCTGACAATATGACGTCATGGCAAGGCTGTTCTGTTTCTGGGAGGATGTTAGTGGCAGTGGGGATCCCCGGGACTGGGGAATTCTCCCTATGAGAATGGACAGCTCTAGAGATTGAAGACATTGTCTCTGCTTATAGCCATGGCTATGACCGGCTGTAGATACATAAAGCAGCAACAGTAGCTGGATTTGCATTATAGATATTTAATAGTTTTATCTAATGGAGCTTGGGGTTTGTGTGAAAGTAGGGCCCTTTTTCCATAACCTCATCCACATGGTTGTCTCTTGTCTGTGAGTGTATCATGGAAGAAACTCTATTTCCCCTCAAAAACGAGTCGTTGGCATGGAGAATCATCAAAGCATAGCAAATTAGGGTTGGAAGGGACCTCAGGAGGTCACATCTAGTCCAACCCCCTGCTCCAAGCAGGACCAGCCCCAACTACATCATACCAGCCAAGGCTTTGTCAAGCCGGGTCTTAAAAACCTCTAAGGATGGAGTTTCCACATCTTTCTGGGTCACCTGTTCCAGTGTTTTACTACCCTCCTAGTGAGAGTTTTCCCTAATACCTAGCTTGCTGCAACTTGAGACCATTGCTCCTTGGTCTGTTCTCTGCCACCCCTGAGAACATCCCTACCTCTGTGCACTTGCCCACATTGTTCATTTGTTTAGTTGCTTTGGGCTTCTGTCATAAGGGGCCGACTTTAATTTTTGCTGGGGGTGGAGGGGCACTAAGATGATGGTCATGTGGAAAGTTTTTTATGCATTTCAGGTGACAACCCTCTTCCCCGATGTACTCGGTGCCTCTGGCTTCTCTTGGGATTATCAGAAGACGTCTGGGCAGCCATTACTGTGCTCAGGAGGGATCCACAACATAATGCACTCGACAGCAGGCGTGTGCACATTCTCTCTCTCGCACACATACGCACACAAACGCAACAGCTCACACGCTCCAACTGTCCATTACACCCACAACTCCCTTCACCCCTTAAGTTAGCAAATAAAAACATCCTTTCCTTCTGTTTCCTTGCTGCAGATGGCTGGGGAATCTGTGATACGGCCTTGTACTTGCATCTCTGTTTTCATTTGAGAAAGCAAGCCAATTGCGGGGCACCAGATCCTTATTTCCCCTCTCCTCCATGCGATGGGTATTCACACACTAATGAGAACGCAGCGCTCTCATATGCAAAGCCGGCCCCATCAGCAGGCGGGGGAAGGGCAGCAGCAGGGAAATGTTCAGATGTGTATCTCCATTTTTAAAGGTTAGAATTTACATTGTTCTCAAAGTCTCCTCTGCTGACTCTGACATGCGGAATTAGCCGTGCCTATTCACTTTATACTGCAATTTCACGTTCACGTTGTATAGTCGAAGCCTAGGTTAACCCTTTGCTTGCTTTTCCTGTGTTTTAGTCCTCTTTACGATGGCTCAGACATTGAGAGGGATTTTGAGTTGCACGGGTACTTCTTTCCTTCTGCATGTGCTGATGGTTGTGTGCACACATGTGCGCGCGCGCGCATGTAGCTTCCTTATGTAACGTGTTAACTCTTTTTAGACTTTTATTCTGCTTTAAAAAACCAGGAAGGATCTGGAAGGAGCTATCTGTTTATATAAAGTTGGGTGAGAAGCCAGAACTAAGACCTTGTGAAGCATCAGCAAGCTTTGAAAAGGTTCCAGGGAACATGCCTTTCCCTTCCCTCTAGTCATTTATATCCTCTTCCTTCCCCAGAAACAAATCTCTAAACTGAGAGCACTCTGTATTATCTCACCTCTGTGCAAAGTCCTACGAATTGTTAAGAATATTTGCTGTTTTCTTCCAGTAAACAGTTATGGGGAGGATGAAGAGTTAACTACATCCTCGGACAGCGATGACGAGGTGATCAAACAGTTTGAGATCTCGGTGTCACGCTCGCAGAGTTTTCGATCGGCAGTGTCTGAAAAAGGAATCCAGGTGGGGGCCGAACGTAAGCCGCGATTCAACCGCTTGCTGTCGAACCACGAGGAGTACAGCACCGAGGCCTCCGAATGCGAAGGTACTGTTTGTGTCCAGTGAGATCTGGGACCTTGCTTTCTGCATCCTCTTAATGCAGAAAGGCTCCTTCTATCCCAGTGAGTGACCAAATCCTGCTTCTGGTTTGCTCAAACTAAAATCCATTTTCCTGATTGACGCCCTTGAGGTTATTCCTAAAATACTTATTCAGGTCTGGATCCAAAGCCTCTTTAAATCATTGGGAGTCTTCCCATTAACTTTGCATGGGTTTTGGATGAGCCCTGCAATCCTTAGGCAGCATTCGTGCAGATATTACTCGGGGTGTTATCTGAGCAGCAACTGCAGGATTTGACCCTGATGAAATCTCATGAGCTGCATTCGTTAATCTGGTATGTTTAGCAAGCCTTGGAACAGAAGTTGTATGTCTCCTTTCATCGCAGCTTTCAAACGCAAGGTAAACAGCAAATGAATTATGTTGTATCATTCACCAGTGCACACACTACGTGCCAGGCAGTGACAGCAGCTAAGCATTTATGGCACCAATGGGAACATTTTTGTTACCAACCACTGCCTCGCGTCAGTGGCATTTCCATATGGCAAGGGACAAAAGCATGCTTTTCAGTAACTTACCTGAGCACATCCCAAAATACAGAGCATAGAGGAGAGAACCTCATCACAGGAAAGGCCCCGGAAAACTGATGCAGTTGCAGTTGCAATTCTAAAATAGTTGGAGCCATTTTTGTCTTCTGAATGTACTTGTTAAATATTTTGCTCTCTATGCTTCAGACCCCTCTCTAGACCTGTTTGCATCTTGATGTGGGGTAGACTGTCTTCCCCTGATGCCTTTGAAAACCTGAATTGTTAATATATATATTTTTAAATAAATGTTTAATCCAAACCTCTTTTCACAGCACGCATTCAGAATTCCATAGTTTACTTCAGTGGGATCAGGATCAGGCCCTTTGTTCCAAGGAAGCCCCTGTTCCCGGTCCCCAAGGAGCTGTATTGATAACCCAGTTGAATGGGGGAATTTGCCCCAGCCTGAAAGGATCCATGAGCTGGGTAAAGCCACCATTGCAACTATGTGCCACCTTGGTGTACGTTTACAGGGTGGGGGCCTGGTTCATTGTGGTATCTGGAACTTCTCAGTTGCCGCAATGTCTCCTTGTAGTCAAATGGGCTTTGCTTGTACCAGCATCCAGCTTGGCCCCTGGTTGGCCTCAGTTTCAAATGAGTGTAAAGAAGGCATAAGGTCACCTCTGCCTCTCCTCTTCAGCGAGGCAAAGTATATCAAACGTGGCTTTCCCTGTGCAGGGCCCTGAAGTCCTCTTTTGTCCTGCAGCTCTGTCTGGAGAGGTCTGCTTTCTTTTGCATCATGAGAATTGGAGAGATCAGAGGTGCAAGCTCATTTTGGAACATGCAGAAGCCTAGCGAGGTGCACTCATACCCTTATTTCTCTCACCGTCCTTCCTCCCTCTCTCTCTCTCTCTCTCTCTCTCATTGCCCCCTTCAGTGCTGCAGTTTAGAGATATTTATCTTTCCCTTTTCTTTTGCTGATGTTCAGATAGGCCTCAAGCCTCTGATTCAGCCATGTGCTCTGAGGTTGCGTGCAGTGCAGTGGACCACAGTGTGCTCTGTCTGTGCTCTCAGCTTCCTGGTATATTCCCTACACTCTGGGGCAAGGATGTGCTGTCTACTAGGCTTATTCCATCCAGGCCGTTTTTCACTAGGGGAGTGCCCAACTGAACATGAGCCACGTCATCACAGCTGGAGACCTTGCTCTCACCTTTCACAAGGCTAATTGAGCACTATGCCACTGAAAGGCAACCCGCCACCCCATGCACACACCCCCTGTTAAATCCCATAGCAGTCAGGGAAGCCATTCCAGTAGCTAAAAACTTCAGTCTTAGGATCCTGATGGTCCTGTAACTTCCCAGCACATTCCACTTGGCAACACCGAGAATAAACTCCGCCATGTGCCGTGTGGTGCAGGGAAGGGTGCGTGAGCTTCCAGAACAGAAACCTGAATTGTGAAGCTGTGTCCCCCTCACACTGGGGGCTCCACACGCTGCCCCCCTCACACTTCTGCTTTTCCTGGTAACTTGCTGGTAACTTGCCTTATAGCCACATTTGCTTTCATAACACAACTGTCTTTTGTCTCCAAACCCTGGAGGAAAACGGCTTGCTCTGTTAATATATTTCTGGAGTTTTCCAGTTATGAATAGCTTATCAGGGCTTTAATGTCGTTTTGGAAAATTCCTCCATTATTGATCTAGATATTATCCCAGCAGGAGTCAGAGCCACAAGACAATTGTGTGGGGATAATTTCTTACTACAGTAACATTTCATTCTGAAAACCTGCTGCGTGGTGTATGGTTTGATGGATGACCCCACTGTTTAAAATGCATATAAGATATTGGCTTGCTAATTAAATGCCTTAAGGAGCGCCAGCATTCATTCAGTCCCAGTAAATGTTTATACATAGATTTTCTCTTATTTTCTTTCGTGCTTGTTCTCTCTCCTTACTTGGCTTTCAGTTCCCGCTTTCTCTGTCCACAGAGGGGAAGCAAGTGAAGTATAATTGTGAAAAATGATGTCACTCTGCTCCCAAATGGAGCTGTTCTTAGAAGGGGATGGGGGAAAAAAAAGATTGAGCTGGGCAAATATTTTTTGGAGAATAGCTTTCTTTGCAGGAAAACCTGGTTTTGGTTATCCCCAAATGATTTGGTGAATTGGATTGAGTGAAAAGGCATTTCAAGGCTAGAGGCTCTGAACCAGCAAGGAGGAGATGGTTCCTTCACAGCCCAGTGGCTAGAACCACCAGCAGGATGTGAGAGTCTGAACTCAAAGACTTCCTCTGCTTGTGGGCACCTAAATCCACATCTCTTACCCCTCAGCGCCATGTGATAGTCTAGGTTGGGAACCCAGACTGCCCTACAGCCTGGAGGATAAAGCTATTCTCCTCGGAGGTAGGAGATGTGGTTCCCTCCCATGCCAAGGAGAGAGCTGGTCTTGAGGGAGTGCCTGAATCAATGGCTGAAAGGAGAAGTTCCCCTTCTTCCATCTTCATCTGTTTTGAGAGCAGCACCTGTGTCCATGTGTTCATTTCCACAGCTTTGCAGTTATTAAAAGAAAGCCTGAAATGGAAGCATGGGGTTTGACTTGGGAATCAAGAAAACATTTTGCTTGGGGTGTGAGGGGGTTTCATTATGGCAAGACAAATGGAAGTGGCGTTTGGTCTGCAAGCTGATCCCCAAAAAAGCAATGTTTCACTCGGCCCTTAGGAAACAGGCCTCTAAGATCAAGAGATGCTTGTGGCCATGTGGCTTCATTCATGAACGGGGGCCTCATTCCAATCTCATTGCTTTCACTAGTTTTTCAGTGGTCTTACTCCTTAATGACCCCAAAGTCATTGGGGTCAGACTCAGTCTCTGTCTAGAACGAAGCCTTGCATTTGAGATTCTTCCCTAAGACATCTGAAAGCTCCTGGTTTTTCTTATGAAGGCATGTTATGAACTGTATAAATGGGATTCCCCAAATTTCAGAGATTTCCAAGATCCAGAAGTGGAAGTGTTGTATCCCGTACTGCAGTGTTGTAGTCACCAGCTCCCTCGTCTCTGAAGGCACATGAATGCCTGAGCAGCATCTACGGAGGGAGAGGAGCACAAGCAGCAGATGCAGAGCAGAGAGAATAGACACGTACTGGATTAGATCAACGGTGGCAAACACCTTGCCTCGTAGACATGGTGCTGGGATGAACGGTGGCAGCCACGTGAGCAGCAGGGGTTAATGCAGCTGTTGCTTGCCCCCTGCCACCCACATGCATACCCAAGGGGTCTCTGTGCCCTGGATTTTGCAACAGGCCCCCTCCCTCCCATCAAAGTCTTGGCACCTCTACCAGCCCCACAGGACACAGCTCTGTAGGTTTGACGCCCCAGATTAGATTAAAGCAAGCAGGTGCTGGGAGGCAGCACCGAGAGGCCTCCATCAGGATTTGGCTCAACTGTCAATGCGAATTAGCACTGCCTTCATGTGGTTGGGGCCAGGTTTAATGAGTCCTGCAGGCTCTGCCTCCCCCACCAAGCCTCTCTTCTGGGCTGGATGAGCCCGTCTGCTTCCTCCCAGCACCCCACGAAAAAGTCTGTGGTGTCTTTGCTTCACCCTCCCCTTCTCACCGCATCAGGCCCATATGTTATTCCAGTCCAATCCATACCCGATCTCCTTCTCAGGAAGGCAGTCGCTCCAGGCCAGGCAATGCCTCTGGACCCTGGGAGATCCTGAGAGCCAACTCCCCAAACATCCCTCCGCTCGTCCTGTTTGAGGTGGCTCCCTTTTTTTGCAAAGCCCGGTGTGCCATTAGAAAAGCAACTGTTTTCATGCTGATTGATGGGTGTTGTTTTGTGCGTTCGCAGCTGGGGACCTCGCAGTCTTGTAAGTGGAGCAGTCAGTCCCAGGCTTGTCGTGTAGAGAAGAAGGAAATTGGGGAGGAAAAAAATAAACGGAAATCACTGTAATCCCTCTGAAATGATTTTCTTGCTGAAAATTGCTAGATCTGGATGGGCTAAGCCAACTGAGTTACCAAGACAACCTCTCCTATCATGAAGATGACCACGTATCTGTTGATTCAAGGACTGCATCCGAGAGTAGGGGTACTGGTCAGCACAAAGAACCTGGCATGGAGGCCAGCGTTGCCAATAGCCTCAGCCGGCAAGCCACCGAAGGGAGCCTGGAGATGGAGACAGCCTTTAGCAATCAGGGATATGAAGGAAATGACGCCACTGACAGCTCATCCGCTTGGAGCCCGGAGGTAGGGTGAATTGCTCTTTGTTACACATGGTGTCTCTGTTCCTTGAGGGCATCGGGAGCGGGGAGAGAGCAGGACAAGAGAGACGGAGTGGGAGGGAACATCAAACTCACAATGTTAGGGGAGAAATTAAATGCAAAATCGATTGGCACAGGACAGTGTGTGTGTGTGTGTGTGTGTGTGTGTGTGTGTGTGTGTGTTGGAGGCAGGGTAGAGGGTGGCTGGGTGGTTTTTTTTGCTCCTCCCTTTTCCTCATTCTGTTTTATTGCCCAGTTTCTGATATTAATGTTACCGGGACCATTTGCTGCACCTCAGCATTTGCTACAAGGAGCCTGCTTTTCTGTGAGGCAATGAAGGGACCTGCATATGGGACATGCATCTGTCAGGATACAGACTATGATTCCTCAGCAAATCGCTGGCCTGCATTGTGGCTGCTTTCTATTGCTAGGGCAGCAGGATGCAGCTGGAAGGTGGCACCAGTGGGGCATCTAGGAACTTTTCTGCTGTATCCAGCTGGTTATTGCCTTGGCCTCCTCTCCTTCACAAAGGTCTGGGATAAGGAGGGTGCAGAGGGGGAGTGTATGATTTCCAACCAGTCCCCTGCTGATGGAAGGTCCCTGGCACCATTATAACCACCATGCTCACGGCTAAATCAGCCCTGATGTTCTCCAGGAGCAAAGGAGTTTATCCATCCCTCTATCCCTTCCCCAGGCAAGGTTGTTGGCCAAGCAGGACTTGACTATATCTAGGGATCTGGTACCTATTTCCAGTGTAACACCCTCCAGAAACAGTGCAGATTCAAAGGAAGCCGTAAATCTATACTTAACTGATTCCCCTCCCCCACACCACCCTGAACTCCTCTTCTTTGTAAGTGATTCGTTTTTTCCATTCCTGTTTTCTCATTTGATTAATTTTGGCAGGAATATTAATTTGCATCAAATATTTTAACAAAGCAATGCATGCAGGTGGAGTTTCCAAGCTGACACCATTCCCTCAATGCAGAAATTAGCCTCTCCAGCCCAAGAACAAAAGGACTGGTATGGAAATATCCCTTTCCTCTGGATGAGTTGCTTCTGCCCAGCACAGAATGAAACAGCTTCCAGTGGATGGGTTTGTGACGTGTTAAAAGCAGCCATTCAGGCTGAGGCATGGCAATAAGCAAGTATATTGGATACTAGACAAGCCAGTTTTGCATGAATTAGGGTACATTAGGACCCCCCTGCAAGTGCTGGGCTGACTCTTTGCCATGTGATGCCTGCCGAACTGAGAGATCTTTATCTATCTTTGCATTTCATAGTTTCATATAGTTTCATAGTTGGTCGGGTCAGAAGGGACCTGAGCGGGTCATCAAGTCCGACCCCCTGCCTTGGCAGGAAAGAGTACTGGGGTCAAACGACCCCAGGAAGGTGTTCATCTAGCCTCCTCTTAAAGACCCCCAGGGTAGGAGCCAGCACCACTTCACTTGGAAGTTGGTTCCAGATCCTAGCAGACCTGACAGTGAAGTAGCGCCTCCTGATATCTAGTCTGAATCTACCCTCTGCCAGCTTATGACCATTATTTCTACCCCAAGCTGGTAGTGCTCGGGGGAACAGGGACTGTCCCAATGCCTGCTGGTCCCCTCTGACTAGTTTGTAACAGGCCACTAGATCCCCCTCAGCCTTCTCTTGTGGAGGCTGAACAGGTTCAGGTCCCATCGCCTCTCCTCGTAGGGCCTGCCCTGCTGCCCCCTGATCATGCGAGTGTCCTCCTCTGGACCCTCTCCATGCTGTCCACATCCCTCTTGAAGTGCAGCGCCCAGAACTGGATGCAGTACTCCAGCTGCGGCCTGACCAGTGCCGCATAGAGGTGGAGGATCACCTCCTTGGACCTGCTCGAGATGCATCTGTGGATGCATGACAAGGTGCGGTTGG